CATCGACTGTCTGCATTTATGCGAACGCTGTCTCTGGTGTCAACTCGAATACAACATCGACAGGTCGCTCTCCCTCGAGAGTTATCTACCTGTTCACATGTTTTTGTACGAGTAGATTCGGTACGCAAACCTTGACAACAACCTTACGAAGGCCCTTTTCACGTGATCGCTCGTCACGAAAAGACCTTCAAGGTTGATCGATATGGACGCGTCGAGATCGTCAGCATTGATCGTCTCAAACCAGCACACGTCGATGACAGTGCCCTATCTGACACCCTGAGATTCAATGCTAGACCTATCAAACCTAGCGGGATCCTTAAATCTTCTTCAGGTCCCACGCTAGATGCATGTGAGACCTCATTCTCACGTCCCGGTCAACAGCACGCGCCATCTGCACCTTCTACGGACGAGACGACAGTCTCACGTCCAGATCAGCAGACCACGCCGCCTCTGACCTCGGATGAGATTGCAGGCTCACGAAATACGAACGAGACTGCCGTCTCACGTTCCGGTCGCCGAGTACGGTTACCCGTACGCTTCCGCGACTAGCCGCACAGTCAACAACCGATACGGTGTAGGGTTATTCCTATACTACACGCATGCTACACTCCTCTTTTTTTGATTTTCTTTTTGTTTCCTGAGCTCACGCCTTCGACCATCTCCGTTTGGTTCCGTCGACTTCAGTCAACTTTGGCGAAAGCTGGATTGGCCACCCACGCTCTTGTCAACGTACTCAGTCGATATATTGGTCTCGAATGCTTGGCATACGCTTGGTCTCGAACTTGGTCGTTACAGTCGCTTCTGGTCTTTTGGCTCAACGTCGTTTCATCCTTCGTCTGCAGCGTTTATGGTCCGGACCCGTACGAACGCCCTCTTCAGATTCTGGATACAAACCACTCTCGTGTAGCATGCCAAATCAAGTAATACATACAGCACATCGCTCCTGGTACTGTTCTCCGGAAACGACCTTCGTTGGCAACTCGACGATCAACGATCGCTTTCCTGTTCGCCAATTCTTCCGTCCTACAATCGCTCGTCAGCCGATCAGTCCCACGATTTAAACCGCTATTTATCGAAAGTGTTAACCCTTTTTAGTGGGGGGCTCCTGTAGTGACTCACATTTATCACGAGAACACGACTGGTTTAATAAAAACGCTTATTATTATAACCAAGTGTACCAGTGACTGTTTTAATGTGCTTTCGTTTGACTGTGCTAATGACAGCTATTTTGTGCTTCCATTCTTATACTCACACTTCGATTGTAACTTCGCGCGAATTCGGTTACGTTCTGTAACCAAGCTTGTATCCTGGCACGATCTCGGTATCCTTTCGATGCCACGAGATCGCCAGCAAATAAACCTCGACTTGGTCCATTAATTGCCTTCTGGTATTCGGCTTCTCGGGGATTTTATGGAGTCATTTGGAACGAGCTTCTTACGCCTTCTGATCTATTTTGGCACGTGTTTCTTGGTAGCGATGTTCACAGTTAATCTCAACTCGACGCCACGCTACAATTGGTGACCCGTATTTTGGAACACGCCTCAACTTCTGATCAAATCTTCCAAAGAAGCCAATTCGGTGAGTCTATGATTTATCTATCCACGTCTGTCGTATATTTTCATATTTTTTAATATATAATATACGCGACATGACGGATAACGATAAGAATAGTAATAATATAATAGACTCACACGTATGTGTACCGAACCCTTGTCACTTTTTATTCGCGTGATGATGAATTCCACGCTTTATTCGAGAAATGTTACCCTATTAACGATTCTCCTCGCTGACCCGGCTGCTTGGTACGGAATGCATACGCATAAGCATATCCGTCTACCACCCAGCACCAAATGGTTAAGTTGAACGGTTTCACTGCCAACTTAAAAGTGTTCTACGAGCACACGAAAACGGCAACTGGCATGAAACCTTACCGCTCGTTCTTTTAGGGGTGAGAACGAGCTTAAAGGCAGATATCCAGTGTTCCGCCACTGAACTTGTATACGGCACGACATTGCGTCTGCCCGGAGAATTCTTCACACCACGGAGCAGACCTAATTTCGGTAAATCAGACTACGTCCATCGACTGTCTGCATTTATGCGAACGCTGTCTCTGGTGTCAACTCGAATACAACATCGACAGGTCGCTCTCCCTCGAGAGTTATCTACCTGTTCACATGTTTTTGTACGAGTAGATTCGGTACGCAAACCTTGACAACAACCTTACGAAGGCCCTTTTCACGTGATCGCTCGTCACGAAAAGACCTTCAAGGTTGATCGATATGGACGCGTCGAGATCGTCAGCATTGATCGTCTCAAACCAGCACACGTCGATGACAGTGCCCTATCTGACACCCTGAGATTCAATGCTAGACCTATCAAACCTAGCGGGATCCTTAAATCTTCTTCAGGTCCCACGCTAGATGCATGTGAGACCTCATTCTCACGTCCCGGTCAACAGCACGCGCCATCTGCACCTTCTACGGACGAGACGACAGTCTCACGTCCAGATCAGCAGACCACGCCGCCTCTGACCTCGGATGAGATTGCAGGCTCACGAAATACGAACGAGACTGCCGTCTCACGTTCCGGTCGCCGAGTACGGTTACCCGTACGCTTCCGCGACTAGCCGCACAGTCAACAACCGATACGGTGTAGGGTTATTCCTATACTACACGCATGCTACACTCCTCTTTTTTTGATTTTCTTTTTGTTTCCTGAGCTCACGCCTTCGACCATCTCCGTTTGGTTCCGTCGACTTCAGTCAACTTTGGCGAAAGCTGGATTGGCCACCCACGCTCTTGTCAACGTACTCAGTCGATATATTGGTCTCGAATGCTTGGCATACGCTTGGTCTCGAACTTGGTCGTTACAGTCGCTTCTGGTCTTTTGGCTCAACGTCGTTTCATCCTTCGTCTGCAGCGTTTATGGTCCGGACCCGTACGAACGCCCTCTTCAGATTCTGGATACAAACCACTCTCGTGTAGCATGCCAAATCAAGTAATACATACAGCACATCGCTCCTGGTACTGTTCTCCGGAAACGACCTTCGTTGGCAACTCGACGATCAACGATCGCTTTCCTGTTCGCCAATTCTTCCGTCCTACAATCGCTCGTCAGCCGATCAGTCCCACGATTTAAACCGCTATTTATCGAAAGTGTTAACCCTTTTTAGTGGGGGGCTCCTGTAGTGACTCACATTTATCACGAGAACACGACTGGTTTAATAAAAACGCTTATTATTATAACCAAGTGTACCAGTGACTGTTTTAATGTGCTTTCGTTTGACTGTGCTAATGACAGCTATTTTGTGCTTCCATTCTTATACTCACACTTCGATTGTAACTTCGCGCGAATTCGGTTACGTTCTGTAACCAAGCTTGTATCCTGGCACGATCTCGGTATCCTTTCGATGCCACGAGATCGCCAGCAAATAAACCTCGACTTGGTCCATTAATTGCCTTCTGGTATTCGGCTTCTCGGGGATTTTATGGAGTCATTTGGAACGAGCTTCTTACGCCTTCTGATCTATTTTGGCACGTGTTTCTTGGTAGCGATGTTCACAGTTAATCTCAACTCGACGCCACGCTACAGACTTGAGTAAAGCAGTTGACAAGTGCCGAAAAAGATACTGCCATTGAAGTTAGAAAATCTTGGTGTTGCCGGACCCCTCTTAAAATGGCTTAAAAATTTCCTAGTAGGTCGTTGACAGAAAGTAAGAACAAGTTCAAAGTGCTCCACCTGGAGACCAGAAGTTAGTGCAGTACCTCAAGTTTCTGTCCTAAGTCCTTTACATTTTATACTTTATGCAAATGATCTCCTAAGTATAGCAGTTCACAATATTATTATAAACTCACGATATAAAAATAATAATGAGAGACGCAGATGCATGCACATTTCAGGCAGACTTAAATAATGTGATTAACTGGTCTAAAGAGTACCTGATGCCTATCAACGTGACAAAACGTGTCTATATGTACTTTGGGGATACAAACGTTAATAGGTACAGAATGGGGGAAGTGCCTGTACCCATGGTCCGGCCTCATAAAGATCATGGAGTGACAGCGAACCATAATTTTAAGTTTACAGCCTATTGCCGGGAGGTTGCAGCTAGGGGGTTCAGAATCCTTTGGGCTTTATAGTGGACATTCACTAATTTAGATGCTACCATGTTCACTGCAGTATGCACAACTCTAGTGAGAACTAAGCTTGAAAACTACGTTCAGACTGAAAGCTCCTGTTTAAAAGGTGACTCGGTTATCCTGGAAAAAGTAAAGAGGGAAGGTACCCGTGCAAATCCAGAACTCTGTGGTTTACCATACAAATAGAGGCTTGAAAAGCTAGACCTCTTTATTCTGTCCTGTCGCAGACCAAGAGGTGATCTAATTTTGATTTACAAGATACTAAGAAATGATTTTTGACCTAATATGTTCTCTCTTTTTTTTCCCACTAGATTGGGACATCTCGAAGGATACAGCAGGCTAGTAGAAAAGCCAAGAACGAAAAAAATACCCGTGTCATACAGGTTTTCACACTGATTCATCAATTCCTGAAACCTGTTATACGAAGCAGTGGTGTCCGCACATTCAACTGACTTATTCAAGAGAAGACTGGACACTCATAAAAGCATACTAGAAAACCAATTAAATAGGCTGTAGGCCAGAATCTGAAATCAAATTACTTGTCAGCTGACTATCGACATTCCCATCGAATCATCAACGAATGGAATTCATTAACTCATCAAATAACTAGAGCTCTATCTGTCTACATTTAAAAAAAGTCGGACCAACTGAGAGACAACAATTGTCATGAATAACATAGATCAACTAGCCCCCGTCCTTTCTAAACTGAGACTGATGTGAACTTGGATCCTGATAAACCTAAATCTGAGTCTCAACTAATTGAAAGTCAGTTTACGATCGATTGTACTCGTAAATTCACATAAAATTCAGAATATTTGAATAGCACCAACTGAAATGTAGAAGTATTGTTTTTTCGAGATACTTTGCCGGTTGTACATCAAGTCCGCAATTCAAATTTGCTTTCCGTGTGGTCTTTGGTATCTCGTATTTGTATACAAGTGTTAACTGGCCTAGAATTGCAAGTTCACCAAGTTTTTACTGCATAGTATTCTTTTTGAATATTTGTAACTAGCTTTTATATGATTTGCACTTTTCACTGTTTCTGGGCTTGGCGGAACGTATAGTTCTAGTCTCCCGATCTAGGGCAGTTTTGTCAGTTCTGAAAAAAATATTGAGGTAGCCCCGATAGAGATTTTTGAGACTATGAAAATCCCAAAATTTCCTTTGGTTTTGAGGTTTTCCTCCAAATTTAATGTCATTGGAGAAATCCCCAAAATGCTTAGTGTGATTTAGGGTTTTCCTCAATATTTTTCCAGACTTATGGGAACGTACGAATTTTCTCATAACTTTCGTAAAAATCAGAATCTCCTCAAAACGATCCAAAACCTGGAGGTCGGGGCTACTGATTCTTGATGATCAGTTTCCACACTAAGTTAGTAAACAGCAAACTTATATTTTGCGGTATTCTGGCTGATTTGCCGTAAGTTTATTCGGTCCCTGATAATATAAAGTATTGTTCTCGTGATTTTAAGGTTCCAGTCTAGTTAGGCTCTGTATATGGAGATCGTCAGACGCCTCCCGGTTTTGCTCTTTTATGCCCATGACTAATCTTTAGAGTTCAAACATATCACCTTGTGTTTCAAACAATCAAGAAATATCCTGGTTTCTGTTCACGCCCTAAAAAACAAAACTTGTTCTACCTCCAGTATATATCCATATATATGTTTACAAATTCAATCAGGACTTAATTTACACATATTCGTATGTACTTCTGCCAATTATTAGATCGGGATTTATTAGGAACATCGTATCCCCGATCTCATTATACGCCACACTTTCAAGTGCATTTCACCCTGCTAGTTAGACTGCTTACATATTAACTGATTTATTAGAAAATACCGCGAAAGTTTGATTTTTGTCGCAATAGGTCCTTCCATGTTCACTTTGAATTGGATATGTACAACTTAATTTTGTCTTGTCGTTACTGAATGGGGTAATGGTGAGAATGCTGAAAATAACTTGACTAACAGAAAATTCAGCATATTGCAGCTGGATTCGTTGTAGGGTCACTGAGGCTTACTTCTTTTCGTACAGTAAGGGTTATAATTTTAGAAAGTTATGAAGTGTCAGCTAATGTTAAGGAGTATTTATATATGTGTAAATCATGCACATGAATTCATTCTTCAGTAATGAGGATTTTATTTATTATTTGAACACATTGGTCCAAAGAGGCGTCGAATACATATGCGCAACACAAGTCACTTGATTTGTGCATGGGCTGTGATACTGCCTGGGCGCCTAGACCGAAGCAGGTAGTCTTCTTACGAGGGGACACCCCACCACTTATCGACTTAGAATACGCAGATGATATAGTCCTGTTTGGTGAAGATGCTGATAAAATGAAGTTTTTTGGTAGCACTGAGCAACAATGCCAGAATGTTTGGAATGCGCTTCTCTCCCTCTAAATGCAAGTTGTTGCTTCAGGACTGGTCTGCGTCAACACCTGAACTAAGGATAGGGAGTGAAGTAGTCGAGCGCGTTGGCAACTTCACTTGTACTGAAAGGCTGATCAGCCCTAATGGGTTGGTGTCTGACGAAATTTCTGCACGAATTCGAAAAGCTTGTTTGACTTTCGTCAACTGACGTCACCTTTGGCGAAGGCGAGATATCTGTCTATCAATAAAAGGACGAGTATACTGCGCGGCAGTTTGTTCCGTTCTACTTTACGGCTGCGAAACATGGCCATTAAGAGTAGAAGATACTCGTAAGCTACAACTATTTGACCACAGGTGCCTTAGAAATATTGCTGGCGCCTGTTGGGATCACCGGGTAAGTAATAGTGAGGTTAGACGCAGGGTATTAGGTAATGATGGTAAATCAGTTGATGACGTTGTGAATTTCCATCGACTGAGATCGTTGGGCCACGTGCTGCGTATGCCTGAACACCGATTACCACGACGTGCAATGCCAACCGGTGTTGGGGATGGTTGAAAGCTAGGGGCGGCCGAAACAAATGTGGCATCAGTCCTTAAAGTCCTTAACTTCTGGTCTGAGCCATGTTGGTAGATGCAGACTACTTAGTTGGGGTCCGCGTGACTGTCATAACCAATGGTTAAGAGACTCTTGGAGACATGGCTCTGAATCGATCACAATGGCGTAGGTGTATACACTCTCTGTCTTCCCTTAAACTAAGAGATCAAAATCGCCTCATATCTTTCTTTCTGTACTATGTCCTTATATGCAATCTTTCTTTTATATATTACCACCACTGAACTAACTACTTCTATGAATCCGGTGTTCATCTTGTGCTAAAGAGGTATGGCAACTTGAACCGTTGTAAATATGTGCCTGGTCCTACGTCGCAGCTGACTGACCACACCCTGAGCCTTCGACCTAAAGTTCTGATCCACAAGGCAGTCAAGCAACGTAAGGAGATGCAGTCCCATAGTAGCCGGTAACCAACAATTGGTTTATACGTCATTTTTCCTTCAGGATCCTGGAGTCCATGTGCACAATCGGTTTAGAATCAAGGTTCCCCAACTCCGCTAGGTGAATCCTCTGTGTCGACCAACCCCGTTAAAGCACCGGTCCCTTGCTTTTCGTCCTCTCAATTTTGTAAACAACACCCCTGCCACGCGAAAGCAGTGAGTAGGACTTCCCTGACAGTAGTTGTATGCACGTGGCGATGTGAGAGTATTTTGTGAAGGAGGGCTGACTCTCTCCCTCTCGACCGTACCAGAGTATTTAGGGGCAATAATGTTATGACCTTGGATGTCTGACTTTTCTATCACACGATTTATCTACCAATCCGAGTATGACTTATACGAATCTTCACACTAGGCCAACCAATGACGTTCAACCGGTGTGGGCAGTTTAGCGTCCTTATTGGTCCTATGTCCTCCGAGCCCTTCCACTTGAGTCCAGAACAAGATACCAGCTTCCGTAATATGAATCGAATCGGAGCAGATCACACCAGATCGTTTATTTCAGACATACCCGGTTTATATATCAATCAGACAGACCACAACGTACCATAAAATAGGAAATAATATTTGTACACAAATAAGCCCAAAAAGTGGCTGTGAATGTGGGAGGCAGTAGTTAATAAACTGAACATAACTTAAGAACCGTAAATCGTACAATAATAAATTATAGGTCAAAATAAAGCTTGTCATAAGAGGAATATAAATATACATAATGTAATTGTTGAATAGTTATACAATATGAATATTTATAGAATATTAGTCCATGAATAGTCCTTGGAAGTTACCTGTAATTTAATCTTCACCGGATATAACAAATAAGGATAGGTCTATCGACCTATATTAATCCTTACAGTTTGTAGCAATCCCATTTTGAATATATCAAGAGGTGTTGATATTACATGTTCCCGTAGAAAATTCCAGTAATTCACTACTCGGTACGAGAAACGAAACTCCAGACGTCGACGATTTGGTCTCAGTTTTTGAAATTTTTTCGATTGTCTTCGCAAATGATCAGTCCTAGACGGAAGGGAAAGATAAGAAATATTAATACCAAGGTCATTGTTCAGTATACGTTAAGCCAATATCAGATCACTCAGTATTCTACGGTAAGATGACTGAAATAAGCTGGTGTGTCAGTCTGTCAGACCTTAAATGACATAACTCAAAATCGTTTGCAATGACGCAGGTGCATCCATTCTTTGTGCTCTCCCAAATTCTAAACTTCTGAATTCTTTGTCTCCTTTTTTTCTCTTACCAAATTTTTTTCACTGAATTATGCTCTTTGAATAACATCTTCAAACCCTAATCTTTCCGATTACTGTTTATACTTTTACTACCTCTATCACTAAGGGATTTGAATCGACAATTGTATCTGTGTGCTAATGTGGTATGGCAACTCGAACTGATGTACGTACGTCCGAGGTTCTACGTTTTTACTGGCTGACTGAATCTATCTTCATAAGATAGGCCAGAGAGACCTTTTACCATTTTATTCCCTCATCCTTGGACTCGTTCCAGCATATCAGCCTCATACTTGAAACAAGGACTCGCTACTTAAACTCCATACTAATCCCATACCAATGAGTTGAGATCATCCTGTAATAGTATTCTACTACTATAAGTATGATAGGCCTTTACGAAAACCATGTTTTCTGAATAAAAGATTATGTCCTTCCATATAACCTATAACAGCTTTAATTTTGACAGCTGCACTGGTTAGACTAACTGGTCGGTAGTTACTAAGTCCCTATTCCTCGCCTTATACACCGGACTAATTATTGCGTCCTTCCAGTATCTTGGCAGTCTGGACTGCCACAGACCTATCAAACAGTATGGCTATAGGTCCAGCTATTACATCAGATAAAGCTTTCATAATCCTAGGACGAATATCGTCAGGATCACCGGACTTGTAAGGCTTGAAATGCTGAAGTAATCTTAAGACATACACTTCTCAATAACCACAGGATCCATCAACAAGCCGCCACAATCACAATTAATCGTTGGTTGTTCCTCATTGCTGATAGAAAACACTACTGAAATGTTCCAGTAACGCTTCAGCTTTGTCGGCATCATCTCTTGCCAATATTAATGGATTTTCTTGTACTTAAAATGATGGAATTCCATCACTTCCCTGAGTTCGTCTTTTTATATACGAGAATAACCGTTTCCGACTATTTTTATAATCCCTAACCAATTTTTTTATGCGACTGTCTAGTCTTATTTACGCTTTACAAGCATTCCTAGTCTTACAATAACTGGATCTGTAGTGTTCTAAGCCAACAGAGATGAACATGTTCCAGTGCTTTTTCCTACATCCAAGAGGTTTCTTGACTTATTTAGTTATCCATGGTGGACGGTTCTTCGGTCTGCGTGGCACCAAGTATAAACGAGAACGTAACTGAACTAAACTTGCCTTTAAATATAGACCATGCTTCTTCAACTGATGAGCTGGTATCTATTGACCAATTTGTCTTAGCAGCGCACTCCCGAATGACTGATAAGTTAACTCTTCATATATTTGGGTGAGGCTTAA